AAAAAGCAGTGACAGAATTTTCCAGAATTGATGAAAGATAATTTAGTGATGAGCTGTGTCAACACCAGTTTAAACAGTGTTTTAAATAGCTAAGGAGGATCCTGAGTGCAGCTGGAGCCAGAGGAATGGCCAAAACCAATGGCATTAGCACACGCTTACGGTTCTCATCAGTACAATAAGACAAGGATTGCCTCTTGTAATCACCAGTTTTGTGCAAAGCTGTGAGGATGCTGAGGTATGTGCATTTTGCTCCTGTTGTTTGGTTAGTCAAAAGCAGGGATTGGTTAGATAAAGGTCTAGATAAAAATATTTTACGCTTTGTGGATCATACCATCTCTGTCATCACAACCACTCAACTCTGCCTTCGTAGCACAAAAGCAGCCGTAGATAATACTGAGCATGTAAGGGTGTGCGTGTTCCAGTGAAACCGCGACGACAGGCAGTGTGCTGAAATTGCCGTGTGGGCTGTCATTTACTGACTGGTCAAGAGAATTGGAGTAAAACACTTTTTTAGGCTTTTTTTATTTTTGGTCTACAAAACACGTTTAAAGGAAGATTCCTGTAATTTTGAAACTTCACTGCCAAAAGCTAAGAAGATATGAGAAAGGAAAATGCTTTTATGCAACTTTGTACTCTTAGTGGCCAATGGAGAGTCTGGTCTATAACTTTTCTTTTTGTTTACATTTAATGGAAAAAAGTAACTCTTCCTCAAAATGCTTTCTTCTTTTTTATTTTCTTGAGATGGAGTTTCCCTGCCCGTGCCCAACCTGTTCATTTAATTCTTCATTAACTTATAAACAGTTCTTTTATAGCTGGGCGTGGTGGCTCATGCCTGTAATCCCAGTAATTTGAGAGGCTGGGGCAGGCGAATCACCTGAGGTCCGGAGTTCAAGATCAGCCTGGTCAACATAGTGAAACCCTATCTCTACTGGAAATACAAAAAATTAGCTGGACATGTAATACCAGCTACTCGGGAGGCTGAGTCAGGAGAATCGCTTGAACCTGGGAGACGGAGGTTGCAGTGAGCCAAGATAGCATCGTCACACTCTAGCCTAGGCAACAAAGACGAAACTCTGTCTCAAAAAAAAAATTTATTTTACTATTCTTTTGGTGCTTATCATAAAGATTATACTGCTTTTATTTTTTTTATTTTTATTTTTTTAAGACAGTCTCGCTCGACATCGCCCAGTCTGGAGCGTGGTGGCACAATCTCAGCTCACTGCAACCTCCATCACCCGGGTTCAAGTGATTCTTCCAGACTTTGTGCCGTGAAGTCAGATGAGGGTAACAGGACCTAGTGCGTGATACCCTTAGCACCCTTGTTACTCTTGTTAAGTAATTATGTGATTTAGAGTTTGGAATGAAACTTCCAGAAATGTTATAATTGAAGCTGGGCACTGTGGCTTACGCCTGTAATGCCAGCACTTTGAGAGGCCAAGGTAGGTGGATCATGAGGTCAGGAGTTCAAGACCAGCCTGGTCAACATGGTGAAACCCCGTCTCTACTAAAAATACGAAAATTAGCCAGGCCTGGTGGTAAACACCTGTAATCCCAGCTACTCAGAAGGCTGAGGCACGAGAATCGCTTGAAACGGAGGTTGCAGTGAGCCGAGATCGTGCCACTGCACTTTAGCCTGGGCAACAAGAGTGAAACTCTGTCCCCCCCAAAATACAAAATAAAATATATAATTGTGACCTGTCAAAATTCTGAGGGAAAGCCAGGCGCAGTTCTCACACCTGTAATCCCAGCACTTTGGGAGGCTGAGGTGGGTGGATCACCTGAAGTCAGGAGTTTGAGACCAGCTTGGCTGATGTGATGAAACTCCGTCTCTACTAAAAGTACAAAAATTAGGTGTGTTGGCATGCACCTGTAAGCTCCTTGGAAGGCTGAGGCAGGAGAATTGCTTGAACCTGGGAGGCAGAGGTTGCAGTGAGCCAAAATCCTGCCATTGCACTCCAGCCTGGGCGACGAAAGTGAAACTCTGTCTCAAAAGACGACAACAACAAAAAACAAAGTTCTATGGGAAGAAGACAACTAGAGACACATCGTTGGCCACACATAGTGCTCTCGGGGCTGCTTAAGTCAGTCCGTGGAGTTCTGGGGACGAAGGTAAGAGCGATGGCTTTGCAGGAACTCTGGTGATTGTGCGTCACTGCTTCAGTTGATGACATGAGATTGTTCTGTATTTTTCTTCAGCTGGTTTTCCCATGGGCTATGCAGCAGCAGCTCCTGCCTATTCTCCTAACATGTATCCTGGAGCAAATCCTACCTTCCAAACAGGTATGTGCTGGGTGATAAAATGCTTTGTACATACAGATGGGAGAGAAAGGTCAAGGGATGGATTTTGAGAAGGGTGGGTTTAGAATTAGGACTTGGTGGAGTCGATTTCTCAAGTTCATTAAATTAGCCTGTTGATAAGTGCAACAAAAGCTTAATTCTCACTGCACTAAAGCTTTATATACTGTGTTTCTCATGTCCTCCCACAAGGCAAATCTGTAATCACTAGGTTGTTAGAGTTAACTCTGCCAGAGCATCTGTTCATGAAGTAGTATCACCTACTAGAAACTGAAGACTCTTGCCATGCTAACAGGTGGAATTTCTATGTTAATGTTTTTAGAGATAATTTTTTGTTTGACTACTTTAGCACTCTGATCATATTTTTTTAAAAAGTATTATTTTCCTTGTAAGGTACATACGAATATTTTTAGATTTTGGAAATCACTGTTACTATTGAAAGTGGAATTGGTTTGGGTCTGAATCGTGAGGAGATTGGTTGTTTCGTGGGATTTCCTCCTAGGAGCCTGCACTCTCCGGTGTTTTCCTTTTGGACTTTTTCACCCGCAGCAGTGGTGGTGCACACTCTGATCTGAGGCTGTGGTGTGGCCTTAATCCTGGGACTGCTGGGGCAGCGTTGTCCCTCACACTAGCCTAACACAGTTAACTCTGACAGAGGAGGACACAATAGCAGTGTCCTTTCCCCAAATTCTTCCAGTTTTGTGAATCATAAAATTCTGCCTTTATGTTCTGTCCTTACATCCATCTCTTCGTTTCCATTTCCACTGTGACTACCCTTGTTCAGCCTGTAGTTCACAGCCTGAAAAAAACCTTCTTGACTTGGTCGTCATGCGCCCGAGCTTTCTCTCCCTGGGTTAGTGTTCTTCCCATTTAAACCAGAGCGATGCTCCCAGATGAGTTTTTCTCAGTGGTTTCCCATGACTGTAAGACACAGTTATGCCAAGAGTCTCGACTTTCAGTCCCTGGCTGTTTGCCACATTGGCCCATTTTTTTCCCTTTAGAGTGGTTTTCCTTCTGTGTTTTGCCTTGAAAGAACCATCTGTCTCGTAGTGTGTATCCGTAGTTCATTCCTTTTTATTGTTAGGTAGTATTTTGTTGTATGGAAATAAATATTTCCGTTTGCTTATCCATGTACCATGTGATGAACGTTTGGGTTATTTGCAGTTTTGGGCTATTAGAAATAAAAATGCTGTTAATATTTACATGCAGTTTATTGTGTGAACATATGCTTTGATTTCTCTTGAGTAATAAATACAGAGGATTCGAGTGGCTGGTTATTATGGCAGGTGTGTATTTAACTTTGTGAGGAACTGCCAAACTGTCTTCCGAAATGGTGGTACCATTTTACATTCCTGCCAGCAGTGTTTGTGAGTTGCAGTTCCTCCACATCCTTAACAACACTTGGTGTGGTCAGTCTTTTTAATTCTAGCCATTCTAGTGAATGTGTAGCAGTATCTTTTCACGTGCGTATTTGCCTTCTGTGTGACTTTGGTGAAGAATTTGTATACAGCTTTTCCTGTATGTCGGTTATTGTTTTTTTATCATTGAGTTTTGAGAGTTCTTA